GAACGGTTGTCGAATGCCGCGAGGTCGACAGAAGTTTTTGACCTTCTCTGATTTGAACTGAGTGCCGTTGTTTTTAACCAGCACTTCGGGGTTCCCGAACCTGACGAAAACCTCCTCGAATGCAGCTATGACAGCTTCTGATGTAGTTTGTTTCAGAACTTTGACCTCCGGCCATTTCGAGTCAGAATCGATTTTCTGTGAGAGGAAGTACTGCTGTCGATAAGGCCCCGCAATGTCTGCGTGTATTCTTGACCAACAAGAGTTGGGTTCCCAATCATCGAGGGGGAGCTTCAGAGGACGCTCCCCCGCAAGCTGACTATCCTCGCACCGCCTGACCAAGCTCTCGATATCCGTGTCGATTCCCGGCCAATTAACATGGCTTTGAGCGAGTGCCTTCATTTTGGAAATTCTTGGATGGCCCTCATGCAGGAGGATGAGTGTTCCCTCCCTCAGGGGCTTTAGTACCACCTCGCGATTCACGATTGATAAACACTCGCGTCTTGTGTACAACGGGGAAAGATGATTTTCTCGGTCTAGCTTCGGCCATGAGCCTTTGGTAACATACTCCATGGCTTCTGCTAGGACTTGATCTCGGTCCGTCTGTTTCTGGATCGTCTGCGCTGTCATGGGTAGTTTGGACAAACTGCTCGATAAATCTTCCTGAACCGAGATCTCAACAGATGCAATGATTGAGTCTACCAGCGGTTCCTCTTCGGCTCGAGCTTCAGTTAGGCGAGACAACGCGTCAGCCTCTCCGAAATCTTTTATATTCTTGTATCGTATCTCGGAGTTGACGGCGCGCAGAATCACAGCCCAGCGCTGCAGACGATTTGCGCTGTAAGCAGGTACGCCCTTCTTGGAACCGAACACTGCCAGCAGTGGTTTGTGGTCTGTGTTCAGCACGAATCGTCGGCGTCGTCCGTACACGAATTTATGAAATTTTCGAATCGCGTAGACTAGCGCCAGGGCTTCCCTTTCTATCTGACTGTAACGTCTCTCTGTTCCTGTGAGAGTTCGGGCCACGTGAAGAACAGCTTTCATGAAACCGTCCTCCAGTTGCTGCATCAAGACTTCTACGATGCCTTTTTGGGATGCATCGGCCGACACGAATATCGGTGGATCAGGATTGTAGTGCATCAGCGCGAGATCTGACATCAGGATTTCTTTAGCTTTTCTGAATGCACGGTCGCATTCGGTTGACCCTATGAACTTCGTGTCTCTTTTCAATGAGTCCACCGATGGTAACTTCAAGTCTCTTATTCCCGGGATGAAAGCTGCGTAGAACGTGAGCATGCCTGAGAAGGATCGAAGTTCTGCGACGTCCCTCGGCGCATGCATGTCGATTATAGGTTGAACTTCAGCCTGGTCTGGTTTCTTTCCCTGTTCGCTGATTATGAAGCCGAGATATTTGATCTGAGTTCGAAGAAAATCACATTTCTCGAGTCGAACGCGGAAGCCCAATTTCTGAATTCGCTCCATGAGTAAGAATAATCTTCTGCGGTGCTCTGCTTCAGAATTTCCCGACACGATTATATCGTCCAAGTATGTCATGGTACCTTCCAGACCTGCCGTGAGCTCGTCCATAATTCTTTGGAAAGAGCTAGGTAGGTCTTTATACCGAAAGGGAGACGTTTGACTCTGAACAGTCCTTTTGGTGAGTTGATGGTGAGAATCTCTTGAGACTTTTCATCGAGTGGGACCTGGAGATACGCTTCAGTTAGGTCGATTTGAGGGAAGTATCTACCACCGTTTAGAGCGCTGAAAATATCTTCGGCCGTCGGAAGGGGATAAAGGTCGTCTTCGACCGGTTGAGTAATCTCCACACATACGAACTCTTCCGTCTGGTTCCTTCACGATCACGATTGGAGCCGCAAAGTCGGGGTGGTGCGTATGTTGTATGACTCCAGCTTTTTCGAGGCGTTCCATATCTGCTTCGACCGCTGGAGGGGTGGCATACGTGATTGGTCTCGCTTTCCGGAACACTGGACTGTGGTCTGCTTTCAGTCTCACAGAGAATTGATATTTAGTGCATCTGCCCGGACCATCCGCGAAAACCTCTGGGAACTTCTGTTTGAGTTCAAGAGCGGATTTTTCTCGTTCCGTTGTTGATTGGGCCGCCTGGGAGATTTTCATACGTGAAGAATTAGGATTCTGCTTGTTGTCTAGGAGTTTTTCGTAGAAGCATTAGTCTCGTCTTATCCAGTCGAGTCCCAGGAGGGAGCATTCTTTGGAGACATAACATTTCCCCTCGAACTCGGTGCCATTCAGCTCGACGATACAATCAAAACTTCCCAGTATGCTTAGAGCAGAGCCATCCGCTTGAGTTAGATTCACGTCTGACTTCCGAAGTTGTGGAGCGCCTAGCTGTCTCCAGGTCTTTTCTGCTACCAGCGTTACGTCGGCTCCGGTGTCGAGGACGAGAGTGACATCTGATCCGTTTATTTTCACCGATTTCATGATTCTGCTGATCTTGAGAAGTGAAATTTCGAGGTGATGAATGTCTGCTCTCTTTTTGGGCTTCTGCATACGGACGCTTTGTGACCTACTTTGGAGCACTTGGTACATTTAGTTTTCGCGAACGGACAGTCTCGCTTCCAGTGTTCTTCGCCACACCGAGAACAAGGAGATGGAGGAGATTTCCGACGCTGTTGATTCTGTTTCATTGAGCTTTTGTGAACGTAGCTCACCGTTGGAATATGATCGGAGCTGCTTGTCGCGTCGCGCTTGAGCTGGGTGTAATTTACGAGCTCTGCAGCTAGGCTCTCTAATGTGGTGGAGTCCTCGTCTAGTTTGCGTAGAGCTCGGGTACGAAGCTCGAGATCTTCCGGTGCGCTCAAGGAGTCGACGAGTACCAGGCACTTCAGATTTTCGGGGGAGAGTTCTTCGAGTTCTGCTGCTTCGCCCCTGGAGTTTATGATTCCGACTGTAAATCAGTGAGGTCTTTCCCATCTCTTTCCGTTGAAACGACGCCTGAATAGCGATGCCGGTTGGCTGAAGAGAGTCTTTAGCGTTCCGATGATATTTATATATCGAGACATACATATATATCGAGAGACTCGTCTTCTGGTTTGTTCGGGAGGATATCTCTCGATATCTCGAACCAGCACATCTGTATCAACGTGTTCTTTGTTCGCTAGAATTGGCGCTTTTCCGCTATACTCTATCGCAAGGCCCAGAAGCACCTGCTTCTTCACGTCGTTCCCCTTCAAGCCCACTTGTTCCGCTAGCATCTCGACTCGTCCCACGAACATGTGCAGTGATTCACCTCGCTTTCATTAGCAATTCAAGAGCTCCTTCAAGAGGGTTACTCGGTCGCCCTCTGGGATATATATCTGTCAGAATCGCTCTTTCCATCCCACCTGTTGCGTACTTCAATGAAAACAATCCTTCACTTGGTTTGTGGACTGAGTCACTGGGCAACTTTTGTCAAGATTGACCTGGTCTGCTCCTCGAGCTCGCTTGTGCGGTTAGCCGGGGACGGTTAGTTCCTGTCTCAGCGTAGCCTCTCGGATGAGTGAGGTCACGCGCCCCCATCGGCACGTCTCGACGTGCACACCATGTTTGCGGGAGAGACGCGCCGACCGACGCGCGACGCATTGCCAGCTCCATGAGTGACCCAAGCCCATTCTCTTTATTATATTTCATGATCGATTGTATGAATGATTGCCTCAAGGGCTTACAGAGGTATCACTTTCGGATTACCGAACTACTCTAAATTATGGAGACCGACTGTGCGGCTGACGTCATTGACTATTGACAGTAGGGTCGACGGAACGCCGCCTGGCGGCCTCCTCTGTAACTAGCGCATACACTGAAGGTGTCTGCGACACTCTCCCCGGGAACTCCGCGCACGCAGTGCTCGAGTTCCAGAGGTTTCTCTAAAGCGATGACCAATGATGAACACTACATGAAGTGAACTATAAGCTCTTTGGGCGGCTTGGAAGTTAGTTAGCATCCAAAAGAATATTTGCTTTCACGATTGCCTAGAGCATGCGGGTTCCCTACTCATGCACATCTGTCTAATGGCTGAAACGAAGTGACACTGCTTTGACTCCGGAACGGACATTGGCTCTTTTTTGGACTGTAGAGAATCGCCTATGAGGTGTATGGTGACCTGGTGCGTCGACATTTCCGACCTCTAAACTATTTCTCTGACTTTAATTCGACACATTTCGACCGGACGCGATTTTTCTTCGCGTTCGAGGGGCTGTCCCATTTTCCGTTGCGTCTCATTCGTTCGCCTCCAGTCGACGAGTGCACATCGCGGAGAATCCCCGAGAAGTTTCAACGACTGAAGACGACTTGACCGGTATGACGAGTGTGCTCTTATGATAGATTATATTTTTCGTTTTACCTTCCGGTGAGGTTTTCGCTCTTAATTTCATTTTTTATCATACCACCGATTTTTGTAGACGATGTCGGCCAATCAAAGTTCGCGACCCGAGACTCGTTTCGACGATTTACTGCGTTCGGCTCTCCTGGCCGGTGTGAGAACTATGCCATCGCCCCGTTCTACTCCAGAAAGGAATCTAGCCGAGGGATCGCGGGACCCGTCCGAGCGCTCGCCAAGAGATGGAGCACCCAGGCAAGGGTCTGAAGATGTAGCAATTCCCGGTGCCTCCGGTGTTTGGGTCTCGTATCCCCAGCCTCCGCCTCAAGGGTATGGGAAGCCTGTCCCGATCCGCGCCGACCCGTGAGCGTGAGAAGGCCGCTGAATCACCGAGGACCATGGTCTCCTCTGGATTTCTTCAAGGAAGAGATACAGAAACGTATTCCCTGGGCCCGCCGATCCACCGGGAAGGCGCTGCATGATTTCGTGTATCCCCTGTGGATTCAACTAACGCCGCGTGAACAAGATTTCTATAGGGAAAAAACTCGTAAACTAAAAAGAGCCCATATCCGTCGTTTGCAACGCCGCCCGAATTTCGGGGGGCCCCGTGAATAAATGATCGATGCCGCCGAACTATCGCCTGCGGTCGCTAAGCGCGAACTCCATCCTCTTAGTTTTCACTGAAACCCAGCGGGTAAATCATGGATATCGGTCGTTTGACGATTTTTCCGTTACCGAATTGGATCATGCAAGATCTCTGTCGTAGATCGGTTCTTTGCCCACCGAACACGTCGACGATTTTACAGAGAGGCCAGAAGCTTCTCGAAGGGCTCGGATCCGCAAGGATACAAACATCTCCGACCCTGAGCGAACGGGTCTCCCCTGGCTTACTCTCATGAGCTGATCTAAGTTGTTGTAAATACTCGGATTGAAATCTTTTCCAGAACGCGTTCAACACGGTCTGTTGACGTTTCCAAGCTTTAGTGAGAATTATCGCTTGTGCGGCCCCTTGATCCGGCATCCTCATCTTTGAGGAGTCGGGAAAGCGTGCTTTTGCGTGGTAGCCATAGACTAAGTCCATAGGGCATAAAGCTCGGATCTCGCAAAACTCGGATGGCAGTGCCGAAATCGGCCGCAGGTTTATGCAGAGTTCTATCTCCGCGAGAATTGATTCGAGCTCCCTGAATCGGGGAACATTGGTGCCCAGAACTTTCCTGAGAGGTTTCTTGACGAGCTGAACCATCCTTTCCCAGAAAGCACCCTGTACTGGGGCTCTGTCGGTAATAAACTCCCACTCGATTTTCGCTTTCGCCAGGTAGTGTTGGATCTCCGGTTCTGCTGCGTTTCGGTATGCCATCTCTAACTCTTTCTCCGCGCGCTTGAAGGTCGCCGCGTTATCTGACATTATCCTCGTCACTGAAGGGAACCTACTGATGAATTTCCGCAGGACTAAGAGGAATTCGAATGTTGTGAGATCGGGCGTCAACTCGAGGTGAATGGCTCTGGAGACTGGGCACACGAATAGAGCTATGTAGCTCTTGAATTTATTGCCTTGATTGTCTCTCACTGTGATAGGCCCCGCAAAGTCGATGCCGGTAACACTGAATGGCGGGTTTCCTCAATGCGGAAAGCCGGCAAGGGGGGTGTCACCTCCGCGCCTGCCTTCGCTCGGAACCTCGCACATACTTTACAGCCTCTGAGGACTTTGTTAATTGAGCTCCTGGCTCTAAGGATGAGAAACTCAGTTCGAACGTGATGTAGGTTCGTGGAAATGCCTTGAGCGTGTTTGCACTTAGTCTCGTGAATCCAGGCTATGAGCAGGCGAACGAAATGGTTTCTCCCGTCTAAGAGTATTGGGAATTTCTCCCCGAAAGACAGGTCGCCGGATTTTTCCAAACGCGATCTGCAACGTATGATCCCATCTTCGTCGAGCATAGGGTTGAATAGGTATATCTTGCTGGATTTCTGTAATTTCTGGCACTTCGCGAGAACTTCCGTGGGGAAGCTGATTCCCTGTATATATTTCAGAAGCGCCGTTTCGGCCATTCTGAACTCCGAAGCATCGATCGGGCTCCCAGCTTGAACGTTTCTCGCCGCTCTCCAGCGTTTCGAGAACCTTAGGACAGTGGCGATGGTTCTAACAGCCTTCGTCCAAGTCGAGAAGTGTTTCTCTTCGAGGATGTGTGTCGGCTCGGGTTTCGACGTGGATGTCGCCAGAGTGACCGTGGATTCACAGCTATCGCTCGACTTTCTCGCTTCTTGGATTGCTTCTGCAAAGTCTGCTTTTCCGATCTTCGCCGGCTTTGGGAGCACCTTCTCTGATAGCCAATGAGGACCATGGGTCCAAAATCTACGGATCTCGGCGGCGTCGAGGGGTGTTCCTCGGCTCAAAAGATCCGCCGGATTGTCCTTCGTGGAGACGTATCTCCATTGATCCGCGCTTGAATATTTCTGGATTTCAGTGATACGGTT